CAAAGGAAAGACATGCACAGCACTTCCTCCATAACTAAACAGATTCCTAGCACCTCAGTGGCTGATGGCATCATGCAGGGGGTTCCCTATGTTAGAGAAACAGACAGTGGTGTATCCGATCGTAAGTATGTCCTGTACTTAGTGGGGGACTTCCTTGATTCGTTAGATCAAGGCCGTATGCCCACACGGTGTCTCCAGAGCATCACCTCTCCCGAGTGAGGAAAGATGACTTGGTTCTGAATCCTGGGATGATCAGTCCCTTATGTGGATCTGACAGGCAAACCGAAAGTAAAAGGGGAGCCGAGAAGTGGCGTTATGCTTCTGGGCGGTGTGTGACTAACCTGGGGTCACTTCGACCGAGGACAAGGACAAGGAAAAGGGTGTAGGAGGGGGTTCTGTGCTCACCCTCACAGAGCCGAGCAGCACACAAAACACCCAAGAGCCTTCTTGCCAAAATCAAGGGGGAACTTCGCCAAGTCCGACACACTGTCTCTCTCTCTCAGTCACATTGGGGATCAGATGCTGCTGTGGATTCATTCTAAGAAGAGGAGTGTGGTGGGGCAAGAGGCATGGAGTCAACACACAGACCAAGGGAGTTGGGTGAGAGCAAGCCAAAGGGGAGCAGCCTGCAGACTCGTTAATTTCAGTTGGTACAGCAGCTTATACAGCCGAGGCAGCCAATCTGGTCAAGGGGTGGTTATGCCCTAATAAATTACTGCCTATTGCCAGGCAGGCTCCTTTGTCATGTGGTTTCCGAAGCCATCCAATCACAGCCTGTTGCCAGGCAGGCTCCATTGTGAGTGGCCGTCTTGGCATGACCTTCTCTTTCCACCATACATATCCACCTCACAGCAGCAAAGCCGCCCCATGCAGCCCTGGGCTTTCTTGCTCCTGATGGCAGTGGAGCCCTGTGGGGAGCAAACCCAACAGTGCCGCTTAGCAATGCAGTCAGTGAGCATCCCTACTCTATGCTCCACCACAGAAACCATTCTGCACACATAGCACAACATCACACGGTGTCCACACTTCTACTGTACGAAGAGAAGTCCCCTGGGCTCATCAAGATGAGGGAAGCTGGTGCATGGACGAGAACTTAGAAAATCCAAACTACGGACTCCAATACTGAGATATGTTCATGTTCAAGTTGTCTGACAGAGATCTACTCTATAGCAGTCACTAAGTCCTTTCAATTAAAAAATTCAAATATTTTTGAAACAATGCAAATGATGTGAAAGTAAAGAAATAAAAGTCAAATATGGAAAGCCTGAAAGTGCAAATATTAAAAATGACATAAAAGGAAAAATGCCTGTAGAAATTAAAAACACAGTTGATATTAAAATGAAATTCAGACCCTAGGGAGATTCAATAGCACAGCACTCCAGGAACTAAAGGACGTAAGAATTCCAAATAAAAACAGCAAAACACAAGCAATCTTCTGCTTCAAGCTCGAGGAGGTGAAACAGAAACAAAATTCCATGTTTGCTGGAAGGAAAAAGAGCTGTTGAACATTCTGGGGAATTCTCCAGGTCATTGCCATTCCGTGGTTCATGTCACCAGGGGGCGCTGTGCATCCATGCAGGAGTGAGCAATGTCTGAAGGAAATTCAAATTGTTCCTGTATATGGCATCCTGGACACAAGATAAATGACAAAAGGGAGAAGCCGGCCGGCGCCGCGGCTTACTAGGCTAATCCTCTGCCTAGCGGCGCCGGCATACCGGGTTCTAGTCCCGGTCGGGGCGCCGGATTCTGTCCCGGTTGCCCCTCTTCCAGGCCAGCCCTCTGCTGTGGGCAGGGAGTGCAGTGGAGGATGGCCCAGGTGCTTGGGCCCTGCACCCCATGGGAGACCAGGAAAAGCACCTGGCTCCTGGCTCCTGCCATCGGATCAGCGCGGTGCGCTGGCCGCAGTGCGCGGGCCGCGGCGGCCGTTGGAGGGTGAACCAACGGCAAAAGGAAGACCTTTCTCTCTGTCTCTCTCTCTCACTGTCCACTCTGCCTGTCAAAAAAAAAAAAAAAAAAAAAAAAAAAAAAAAAAAAAAAAAAGGAGAAGCCATAGCAGGTGCTTCCTCCCCAGGGACCAGGCAGCACTCACAGCCTCCCCAGCCTCATTGGGGAGTGGCCAGAATTGGCTGCTGGTGGGGACAGAGGGGGAGGGGAGGACTCAGCAAGTGTGACCCTGGCTGCTCCTCTCCCTTCTGCTCTGACCTCAGTGAATCTCCAACTTCCCTGCCTGGGCTGCTCCTCACTTCCCAGTGAATCCAGGGTGCCACTCCCGGGGGGAATCATCCTCCCAGTGCTCCCGACCCCACTCCCTGTGGGCTTGGCTGTGAGGGGCCCAGAAGGACGAGGGCAGCCTGCTGTCCTCAGCTACCAGCAGGTGTGCTCAGGGCCGACTGGCACGGTGGTCAGCTGTGATCACGTCTGCTCCTGTGTGTGTTCACTGCAGGTGCACTAGGTGTCTGAGACCCGCGATCCCACGAGGATGCCCTGTCAGATGGGCCGAGCCACCTGCTGCTCCCATTGAGGAGGCAAAGTGAGTACATGAGCCAGGGACAAGATGGGAGCTGCCCCTGAGGAGGGGCCCTGGATGCCGCAAAAGACCCCCAGCTACGGGGGCTGCACACGGGTCGCAGTGGGATGTGGTTTCTAAGAGCAAGAGGAGCAGATTTGCATGAAGGATGTCCCAGTCTCCTCTGGGGCCAGGGCGAGGATAAGAGCCCTGCAGAGCGTCGGCCTTGGCTGAGCCCTGGGGAGTCTGCACCATGGCCTGCACCCCGCTCCTCCTCCTCCTCACCCTCCTCCAGAGCACAGGTCAGGAGGGGCCTCACATGAAGACCCCCGGGTCAGTTAGTTCCCTCACCTCCTGGGAGCAATGCCCCCCATGCTTCCTCCAGGGTAACGGTGTCTTTGCTTTCAGGGTCCCTGTCTCAGCCTGTGCTGACTCAGTCGCCCTCTGCATCTGCCACCCTGGGAGCCTCGGCCAAGCTCACCTGCACCCTGAGCAGTGCCCACAGCACCTACTATATTGAATGGTATCAGCAGCAGCAAGGGGAGGCCCCTCGGTACCTGATGCAGCTTAAGAGTGATGGAAGCTACACCAAGGGGACCGGGGTCCCTGATCGCTTCTCGGGCTCCAGCTCTGGGGCTGACCGCTACTTGATCATCTCCAGCGTCCAGGCTGAGGACGAAGCTGACTACATCTGTGGTGTAACTGGCAGTAATGTTTATGCACAGTGGCCCAGCTGAACGAGGAAGTGGGACAAAAACCCTCTTCTTTGTTCTCTGATCAAGGCTCGCATTGTCTCAGACTGCTGAGGTCCTGGACACTCAGAAATCATGTGGTTGGGGCAAAAGGCATGGAGTCACCACACAGACCAAGGGAGTGGGGTGAGAGCAGGCCAAAGCGGTGCAGCTTGCAGACTCGCTAATTTCAGTTGGTACAGCAGCTTATACAGCCGAGGCAGCCAATCTGGTCAAGGGGTGGTTATGCCCTAATAAATTACTGCCTATTGCCAGGCAGGCTCCATTGTGAGCGGCCATCTTGGCATGACCTTCTCTTTCCACCATACATATCCACCTCACAGCAGCAAAGCCGCCCCATGCAGCCCTGTGCTTTCTTGCTCCTGATGGCAGTGGAGCCCTGTGGGGAGCAAACCCAACAGTGCCGTCAGTGAGCATCCCTACTCCATGCTCCACCACAGAAACCATTCTGCACACATAGCACAACATCACACGGTGTCCACACTTCTACTGTACGAAGAGAAGTCCCCTGGGCTCATCAAGAGCTAGGAAAGACGGGACTTGGATGATAATGAGAAAATGCAAATATGGACTCCAGTTCTGAGATGGGGTTGATGTTCAATTTGTAACCAAGATCTTCCAACAGCAGTCACTAAATCCTTTTAAAGAAAGCCTTCAGATGTTTTGGAAACAAATGGAAATGTTGTGAAGAAAAGCAATATGCTATAAATGGAAACCTTGGATAGGAAAGGTTAAATATTAGAAAGTGACATGGAAAAGAACAGTTCCCACAGAAATTATAAACAGTTAAGCCCTGTGTAAAATTCAGACACTGGGGCGATTCAATCGCAAAGCAGACCAGGAAATGGAGGACTTACAAATTCCAGATATCAACATAAAAACACAAACAATCATCTGCTGAGAGCTGGAGGAGTTGGAATTTAGACAAAACTCCATGTTGGCTGTCAGAAAAAGCACTGCTGAACGTTCTGGGGAATTCTCCAAGTCATTCCCATTCTGTGGTTCATGCCACCAGGGGGCGCTGTGGACCCATCCAGGAGTGAGCAGTGTCTGAAGCAGATTCAATCTGTTCCTGTTTATAGCTCCCTGGAGAAAAGTGCTATGGTGCAAGGGAGAAGCCATAGCAGCTGCTTCCTCCCCAGGGACCCAGGCAGCACTCGCAGCCTCCCCAGCCTCACTGATAACTCACAGCTCCCTGGCCCTGGACTCAGAATTGGCTGCTGGTGGGGACCGAGGGGGAGGGGAGGTCTTAGGCAGTGTGACCCTGGCTGCTCCTCTCCCTTCTGCTCTGACCTCACTGAATCTCCTACTTCCCTCCCTGGGTTGCTCCTCACTTCCCAGTGACTCCAGGGTGCCACTCCCAGAGGGGGATCATTCTCCCAGCGTTCCCCACCCTGCTCCCTGTGGGCTCGGCTGTGAGGGGCCCAGGAGGACGAGGGCAGCCTGCTGTCCTCAGCCACCAGCAGGTGTGCTCAGGGCCCACTGGCACGGTGGTCAGCTGTGATCATGTCTGCTCCTGTGTGTGTTCATTGTGGGTGCACTGGGTGTCTGAGACTGCGTTCCACAAGGACGCCCTGTCAAGTGGGCGGAGCCACCTGCTGCTCCCACTGAGGAGACAAAGAGAACACGGAAGTGAGAATCCAGGTGGGGGCTGCCCCTGAGGAGGGGCCCTGGACTCCCCCAAAGGACACCCAGCCATGGGGGCTGCACACGGGTCCCAGAGGTGCATGGGTGCTCAGACCAAGAGGAGCAGATTTGCATGAAGGACGTCTCAGGCTCCTCTGGGGCCAGGGCGGGGATAAGAGCCCTGCAGAGCATCGGCCTCGGCTGAGCCCTGGGGAGTCTGCACCATGGCCTGCACCCCGCTCCTCCTCCTCCTCACCCTCCTCCAGTGCACAGGTCAGGAGGGGCCTCACATCGAGACCCCCAGGTCACCTAACTCTCCCACCTCCTGGGAGCAATGCCCCCACCCCGTGCTTCCTCCAGGGTAACGGTGTCTTTGCTTTCAGGGTCCCTGTCCCAGCCTGTGCTGACTCAGTCGCCCTCTGCATCTGCCACCCTGGGAGCCTCGGCCAAGCTCACCTGCACCCTGAGCAGTGCCCACAAGACCTACACCATTGCATGGTATCAGCAGCAGCAAGGGGAGGCCCCTTGGTACCTAATGAAGCTTAAGAGTGATGGAAGCTACACCAAGGGGACCGGGGTCCCTGATCGCTTCTCGGGCTCCAGCTCTGGGGCTGACCGCTACTTGATCATCTCCAGCGTCCAGGCTGATGACGAAGCCGACTACTATTGTGGTGCAGGTTATAGCAGTGGGTATGCACAGTGACCCAGATGAACGGGGAAGTGGGACAAAAACTTGTTTCTCTCTTACCAAGATTGCCAAATGGCTCTTGAAAGATTGTCTGCTTTCCTGATCCTCAAACACATACGTTTTATGTTCATCCACCCAGGAGTGAACAGGATGCTTTGTGCTCCCCATGGTCTCCCCACCCCAATTCCCTGGGAACCACATGCCGGGGCCAGTTCCTACAGAGTGTGCACATCTGCAGATGTGATGCAAACAAAAGCACTCATCGGGGCCAGCCCCCTGGCTCACTTGGTTAATCCTCCGCCTGCATCCCCAGCATCCCATATGGGCACTGGTTCTAGTCCTGGCTGCTCCTCTTCCAGTCCAGCTCTCTGCTGTGGCCTGGGAAGTTAGTGGAAGATGGCCCAAGGGCATGGACCCTAGCACCCGCATGGGATTCTGGGAGGAGGCATCTGGCTCTTGTCTTCATTGGCGCAGTTCTGTTCATGGTGGCCATTTGGGGAGTGAACCAACAGAAGGAAGACCTTATTATCTGTCTCTCTCTCACTCACTGTCTATAACTCTACCTGTCGAATAAAAAAGTACTCTTGTCGCCCCCTGCTCATCGACTGAGGGATCACTCCATGGAGGGGGGGTGCAAGGACATGACAAGATTGTGCCTCCTCGACTTCATTGGACTGGCCATACCTGCAAAATACCTGTGGCAGCCTCACCTGCTGCTCCCTGGCAGAGTGCTCACTCATCTCACTCCTCACTCTGAGAGCTCTGGTGAATTCTCCCACCACCTGCAACATCAGCTTCAGCCAGATCCTCCTGGGACAACACACACTGCTGAGTGCTGGTTGTGCCTGGTTCTACACACACTGCACAACAGCCTGAGTACAGCTGGGGACAGCATTTACAGTATTCAAAACTAATGTAGGGCCAGCGCTGCGGCTCACTAGGCTAATCCTGCGCCTTGCGGCGCCGGCACACCGGGTTCTAGTCCCGGTCGGGGTGCTGGATTCTGCCCCAGTTGCCCCTCTTCCAGGCCAGTTCTCTGCTGTGTCCCAGGAGTGCAGTGGAGGATGGCCCAAGTGCTTGGGCCCTGCACCCCATGAGAGACCAGGAGAAGCACCTGGCTCCTGCCATCGGATCAGCGCGGTGCCCGAGCCGCAGCATGCCAGCCGCAGTGGCCATTGGAGGGTAAACCAATGGCAAAGGAAGACCTTTCTCTCTGTCTTTCTCTCTCACTGTCCACTCTGCCTGTCAAAAAATAAAAATAAAAATAAATAAATAAATAAATAAATAAATAAAATTGGGTAATGTTTAAAAAAACTGGTAATGTAGTATTCTATGTTTTTACAACACTGAAAAGCAAAGTGATAAAAATATACACTTGCTATTCTCAGGGTGGGCAGTGGTGTGTGTTTGGTTCTAAGCTGTGATGGACAGTGATGGGGCTGGGAGATCAGAATGACTTAGAGAGGAATGTCCTGACCCTTGGTTCCGTATCCTCCTGCCTGTAGCATCTGCTTCTGCCTTTGTCCCAGCACAGGAGGGACAGGTAATGCAAGAACTGGGAACAAACAGAGGCTGATCCCAGAGAATCCTTGTGTGAGATACTTGAGAGATTTATTTCATATTGTTGGAGATAGAATTTAAGGGAGATTTTCAAGCAAGAAGTATGTTTATCAGATGCAGGTATTTGAACTATTACTCAGAGCATGGTTTAAGGAATGAAGAATCATGGGATTCACAGTAGGCAAATCCCCCAGGAGGCTTCCTAGCCCTGGTGAACTGTGATGGACACGAGCACCAGGATTAGGTCAGAGGGCGGCAGACTGGGGGAGGCTCTGGACAGAGCTTGGGGGAGGGTGGTGTCTGTGTCTCCTGGGAGATGAGTAGCTCCCAGTAGTCAGGAGTGGGAACCAGGCTCCCAGGGTGAGCGTGGTCAGGGCTCAGCCAGGAGGACCTGTCTCCAGGACTCTGTTTCCTGAGTGTTTCCCCCGCTGTGCTCCAAGCTCCTTGAGAGCAGGGAGCTTCTCTCCTGTGGTTCTTCCTGCTGCATCCACAGAGCCCAGACACTGCCCGGCTCAGGGGAAAAAAACCAGCATCCCAGGTCACTGAATGTGTGAATTCAAATAAATTGGAATCCCAGTTCCAACAACAGATCTAGGGCCAGAGTGTGATCCTTTCTATTGGACAATATGAGTGTGGGATTCTGAATTCATTGAAGAGCAGATTTTGAATTAAAAATATGTTGGTAATACAGAGAACACAGATGATAATGGACTTCAGTCGTGGGGATGGGGTCCAGTAGGCTGGGTGGATCTCATGGGTCCCTATGAATGGAGAGAGAAACTGGGGTGCCTCAGAAACCAGCTGGGCTCCAAGGCTTCCTGACCATGGGAGGATTGTGCTCTTTTGCCAGGAGGGGACGCTGTGGGACTAACTTCTTGATTCCTACACAGTTGCTCCTTCACCACCATTCATGCAAAGGTGCCTGGCTTGGGGGTTGAGCAAGGTTCTCACTGATGGGGCCTCAGCATCTGTGTCCCCTCAGGCCTGGCAGAGTCCCTGGGCAAAGGTCATTTTCATATGTTGCATGTGAATCCTCTCAAGGCCTCAGGGAAGGAAGCAAACCTTCATTCTTCTCTGCACTAGGAGCAGAGCCCAGCACCAGGGCTCACGGAGGGGCGGGGCAGGCACTGGACAGAGCCTCATTTGCATGTGCAGCCCTCCTCTGGCACAGGCTGGGGAAGAAAAGGAGGCCTGGGGCAGCACAGCCCACTGTGGGCGTCAGGGCTGTGACCACCATGGCCTGGGCTCCTCTGCTCCTGCTGCTCCTCTCTCACTGCACAGGTAGGGACGGCCCTGGGGACCAGGTCCCAGCCTGGCTCACACCCCTTGCTCAGAGCCCTGAGGGACGTGAGCCTGACCTCTGCCCCCTCCCCGTGTGTCTGTGTCTGCAGGGTCCCTCTCCCAGCCTGTGCTGACTCAGCCGCCCTCCCTGTCTGCGTCTCTGGACACAACAGCCAGACTCACCTGCACCCTGAGCACTGGCTACAGTGTTGGCAGTTATGGAATTGGCTGGTACCAGCAGGTGCCAGGGAGCCCTCCCCGGTTACTCCTGTACTACTACTCAAGTACATCACTGGGACTTGGGGTGACCAGCCGCTTCTATGGATCCAAGGACCCCTCAGCCAATGCAGGCGTCCTGAGCATCTCTGGGCTGCAGCCCGAGGACAAGGTTGACTATTACTGCAAAGTATGGGATAGCAGCTCAAAGAAACACAGTGTTCCTGACTTGTGAGGAAGTGAGAAAAAACTTCCCCTGGGTGCTCCTGACCTAGGGTCGTCCCTGATGCTGCTGCCTCTGACCCCGTCCAGCACAGGAGGTGACCTCAGCCCTCACCTCCTCTGTCATCACCAGATTGTCCTCAGCTGCTTGATGTCAGATTACCATCTCCCTCTCTCCACCTCCAGATTGGCAGGGAGCCATTGCCCACGTGGCCCTCACAATGCTTCTACCCCCGGGGAGCCCTGGTAAGAGGGCAAATCCCTCCGAGGGGGCTGCAGGGGAACCAGGGCTGGACTAAGTCATGCACAGCTCTGGTCTGTGAGTGACTCTGGGACACTTCCTGTCTGAGCATCATCAGGGCTCCAGGGCACAGACCCACCTGCTGATGGGAGCTGCCTTCTCCACACCACCAGGCACACACACGCATGCATAGCCACAACCAATGCCTCTTACAGCAGCCGAAAAATAAAACACAGTTGAGAATAAATGTAACAGAATTTGAGGGTCTGGTTCAGTAAAAGCTATAAAATAAATAAAATATAAATCTGATAAAATGGGCAGATCCAGTAGTGCAGGGTCAAAACCCTCAAGGTGGTCAAGCAATTGGTTCTCTGAAGATTGATCAAGGCTCTGGATGCCACGGTCCTGGCTGAAATGCATTTGCCTTGTGGCGGTGATAGAAGAAATTCAGAATCTATAAACACCCACAGATGGGATTGCAGCCCTGGGAGGATGCATCGCTGGATCCGTATGCACTGGGCTGCACATGGAGACAGGCAATGCAGGCTGTCACTCTGCTGTTAGTTGGGGTAGCCCAATCAGGGGCAGTCAGAGAGCCCAGGGCTCATCAAGGAAGAGACCCCAACTGGCTACAGGAATCACAGTTGGGGGGGCTGCTGGGCAGAGTGTGGGTGGAACACGCCTGGGACCAGACCCCACTGTGCACTGAGACTGTGGGATCCCCAGAGTGTGACACCATGGCCTGGCTCCCCTCTCCCTCACAGCCTGGAGCAGGGTTGTGACCAAAAAAGAAAAATTCCCATAGAAATAAAAACAGAGTTAATATTTAAAATGAAATTCAGACAGTGAGGAGATTTATGGCACAGAAGGCCAGGAAATGAAGAACGTACTAATTCCAAATAACAACAGTATAACACAAAAAATCCTCTTTTGAGCTGGAGGAGGTGGCATAGAAAACAAAATTCCATGTTTGTTCAAAGGAAAAAAGCACTGCTGAACATTCTGGGGAATTCTCCAGGTCATTCCCATTCTGTGGTTCATGTCACCAGGGGTCGCTGTGCATCCATGCAGCAGTGAGCAGGGTTTGCTGCAGATTCAAACTGGTGCTGCACTCTGGTCTCAGAATCAGTCTTTAAGGCATTCAGATCTGGCTAAAAAGCCCATGAGAACCTTTCAGGCATGGAAAACCAAGACACTGTGGCAAAAATGACCTCAATGAAAGATCTCTGTGAATGAGATCTCGGTGGATAAAAGGAGACATCAAAGAAGGAGGTACCTTTCTCTGAAGGGAGGAGAGAACTTCCGCTTTGATCATGGCCTTGGCTAAATAAAGTCAGAGTTTGTGGACTCAAGAGTCTTCCATAGCCTTGGCAGTTCCTGACAAGAGCCTTGGGTGATTACTGACGTCATAAATAAGAGCGTCAATTGTTAATCACCAAGAGGAGTCACTGTGCACTTGCTCCTCATGTAGGACCTCTGTGCTTAATGTGTTGTA